GGTTAATGTTGATTTAGATGTAGTTCCTGGTTTTGATTCGGTTGTCCCTGCTTTACTAGAAGAATCAGTACTAGAAGGTAATTGATTTGATGAAGCAGTAGACGATGTACTATCAATGGAAGTAGACGTTTCTGGGTTTATGATTGATGTTGATTTAGATGTAGTTTCTGGTTTTGATTCGGTTGTCCCTGCTTTACTAGAAGAATCAGTACTAGAAGGTAATTGATTTGATGAAGCAGTAGACGATGTACTATCAATGGAAGTAGACGTTTCTGGGTTTATGATTGATGTTGATTTAGATGTAGTTTCTGGTTTTGATTCGGTTGTCCCTGCTTTACTAGAAGAATCAGTACTAGAAGGCAATTGATTTGATGAGGCAGAAGACGATGTACTATCAATGGAAGTAGACGTTTCAGGGTTTATGATTGATGTTGATTTAGATGAAGTTTCTGGTTTTGATTCTGTTGTCACTGCTTTACTAGAAGAATCAGTACTAGAAGGTACTTTATCTGATGAAGCAGTAGACGGTGTAGTATCAATGGAAGTAGACTTTTCTGGGTTTATGGTTGATGTTGATTTAGATGTAGTTCCTGGTTTTGATTCGGTTGTCACTGCTTTACTATAAGAGTCAGTACTAGAAGATAATTGATTTGATGAAACAGTAGACGATGTTGTATCAATGAAAGAAGACTTTTCTGGGTTTATGGTTGATGTAGATTTGGATGAAATACTACATCGTCTACTTCTTCACCAGATAAATTACCTTCTAGTACTGATTCTTCTAGCAAAACCGTGTCTGCTGAATTAACACCTGGAACGAATGGAAGAAGACTTTTCTTGGATTATGGTTGTTGTTGATTTAGATGAAGTTAGAGGGGTTGATTCGGTTGACACTGCTTTACTATAAGAGACAGTACTAGAAGGTAATTGATCTGATGAAACAGTAGACGATGTTGTATCAACGGTAGTAGACGTTTCTGGGGTTATGGTTAATGTTGATTTAGATGTAGTTCCTGGTTTTGATTCGGTTGTCCCTGCTTTACTATAAGAGTCAGTACTAGAAGGTAATTGATCTGATGAAACAGTAGACGATGTTGTATCAACGGTAGTAGACGTTTCTGGGTTTATGGTTAATGTTGATTTAGATGAAGTTTCTGGTTTTGATTCTGTTGTCACTGCTTTACTAGAAGAATCAGTACTAGAAGGTACTTTATCTGATGAAGCAGTAGACGGTGTAGTATCAATGAAAGTAGACTTTTCAGGGTTTATGGTTGATGTTGATTTAGATGTAGTTCCTGGTTTTGATTCGGTTGTCACTGCTTTACTATAAGAGCCAGTACTAGAAGGTAATTTATCTGACGAAGCGGAAAACGATGTTGTATCAACGGTAGTAGACGTTTCTGGGTTTATGGTTAATGTTGATTTAGATGAAGTTTCTGGTTTTGATTCTGTTGTCACTGCTTTACTAGAAGAATCAGTACTAGAAGGTAATTTATCTGATGAAGCAGTAGACGGTGTAGTATCAATGAAAGTAGACGTTTTTGGGTTTATGGTTAATGTTGATTTAGATGAAGTTAGAGGGGTTGATTCGGTTGACACTGCTTTACTAGAAGAATCAGTTGTAGAAGGTAATTGATTTGATGAGGCAGTAGACGGTGTTGTATCAACGGCAGTAAGCGTTTCTGGGTTTTTGGTTGATGTAGATTTAGATGAAGTTCCAGGTTTTGATTCGGTTGTCTCTGCTCTACTTGAAGAATCAGTACTAGAAGATATTTCATCTGGTGAAGCAGTAGACGATGTAGTATAAATGGAAGTAGAGTTTTCTGAAACTTTCTGGACGTTAGGAACTTTCGTTTCTTTAAAACAAACAGGAAGTGTGATAATGTTAGAAGACAAAATTACTTACAATAAAAGATACAAGAATTTAAGATTGCTGTAGTGTTAGAAACTATATCGTAAAAACGTTTTACAGCTAAAGATACTTTAAACATTGTTTTTCTGATATTTTAAAACAGGTGTTAAAATTGTTTTGCGGCTGTGTAAAAACAAATTTCAAACATTTTTTGCATCTGTATGAAAACAGATGCTAAGAATGTATTACAGCTATATAGAACAGGTGTCAATCTTTTTTTTCATAGATTTATAAAACAGATATTAAAAACGTTTTGCAGATAAATATTAGGTCATCAAGAAATTAATGCCGCTTTTCTAGATGAAAGAACCCAACAACTTATATATCAAAACAAAACATTTAATAAATCAAATAGTCTCTATTCTTATCGATGATTCTTTTCCATCTTACAATCAGGTTGTTAATGCCCTGATTGAAGCAAAAAACATGTCGATGTCCTCTTTAACACTTTCCATATTTGCATACGTTTTTCCATTAAGATGGTGTTGAAGCGACGAAAAAAATGGTAATCCAATGGTGTCATATCTCGAGAATATGGTGGGTGAGGGAAGAACTTCCCAACCCAACTCCATATTCTTATGTTGCGTGAAACGTGCCACATCTGAACGTGCATTGTCATGGAGAAGAAGAACACCTTTCCGATTGACGATTGAAGGGCGTTTCTGATGAAGGACTTGATTTAAACGTCCAGTTGCTGACTATAGATCTCTGTATTGACAGTTCGCTGTGGATTGAGGAGTTCGAAATGAATTACTCCCTTCACTTTCTGCCGATGGAGTCGAGATTTTAGGGTCAGAAGTGGCTTCTATATAGGACTGAGTCATTGTTTTTAGCGTTTAAGATTCGCATATAGAATCCATTTTTCATCACCGGTGAAAATTCTTTCCAAAAATGATTCACACGCATTACGCACCAGAAGAGACGAAGCAACGTTCACACGTTGGAAACGATTATCATCGGAGAGTTCGTGAGGCACCAAAACACCTTCTTTATGGAGTTTTCCTATATTCCTTAGATGTTTACGTATTTTTTCATGAGAGACATGCAATTTCAGAACCATTTCACGAGTGTGTTGCTTTGAGTTAGACTCAACAAGCGTCTTCAGAGCATCAATATCAATTCCAACATGTCGGCCCCTGCCATCACAGTTTTTAAAGCTAAAGTCACCTGAACGAAATTTGCTGAATCATCGTTGACACTTACAAACGTTCAAAACATTTCCATAAACTTCTTTGATATTCTTTGTGGGTATAGAGGTGTTTTATAACTTTATACATTGTACAGGATACACTAACGTGAAGTTAAGGCGGTTCGTATAACTATTATACGTGATGTACGTTTTTTGATGGGTGGTTAATGAAAGTGTTTTAAAACACGGCATTAATTTCTTGACGACCTAACAAAAAACAGATGTTAGTTGATACTTAAAAAGCCGCGTGAAAAAGATGTTAAAATGTGTTGACGGATTTTAATCACTGTTTTGCATTTATATAGAAACAGGTGTTAAGAATTGTTTTCAGCTATATAAAAAAGGATGTTAAGAATATTTCATATAAAAACATGTGCATTTTTATTCTTATTATTAAGAATGTGAGGCCTGCGAAACTGAGGTTAAACTGGGTAGGCGGTGTATCCCCAACGCAATTTGAGGCTTACTTCCGCCAGTATCTCAAAAACCAGAGCACATTGCATAACTACCCACCTTATGGTGTGTGCCCAGGTAGTACGTGTCTGTTTTGTTTCTATTTTCCTTTTTGCTTTCACGTCCAATTAATTGTATATATATATATATGTGTATATATATATATATATATATATACAATTCCTCCGAGGGAGAATAATTGTCTAGCAAAATTATTATAAGTTTTCATGTTAATATCAAATCAATGTACCAGTTCATTATGTATACAATATTTATAATGCCATTCGTTCAGTTTACGAGTTCATGAGCTGTATATTAATATTAGTATTAGATTAGTGTAGATGTTTGTCAACTGTAAAATAATAATGGTAATATTAGATTAGTGTAGATGTTTGTCAACTGTATAATAATAATGGTAGTATTAGATTAGTGTAGGTGTTTGTCAACTGTATAATAATAATGGTAGTATTAGATTAGTGTAGATGTTTGTCAACTGTATAATAATAATAATGGTAGTATTATATTAGTGTAGCTGTTTGTCAACTGTATAATAATAATGGTAGTATTAGATTAGTGTAAATGTTTGTCAACTGTATAATAATAATGGTAGTATTAGATTAGTGTAAATGTTTGTCAACTGTATAATAATAATGGTAGTATCATATTAGTGTAGATGTTTGTCAACTGTATAATAATAATGATAGTATCAGATTAGTGTTGATGTTTATCACATTTATAATAATAATGGTAGTATCAGATTAGTGTAGATGTTTATCACATTTATAATAATAATGGTAGTATTAGATTAGTGTAGATGTTTGTCAACTGTATAATAATAATGGTAGTATTATATTAGTGATGATGTTTATCACATTTATAATAATAATGGTAGTATTAGATTAGTGTAGATATTTATCAACTGTATAATAATAATGGTAGTATCAGATTAGTGTACGTGTTTGTCAACTGTATAATAATAATAATGGTAGCATTATATTAGTGTAAATGTTTGTCAACTGTATAATAATAATGGTAGTATTAGATTAGTGTAGATGTTTCTGCACTACGACAATCTTACCGTTAGTGTAACGATAATGTTAGTTTTTTTAACTGATACAGCTGGATATTCCCATACTGAGTATTTGCATGTATTTGACCTTATGAGTTATAATTTTTATTCTCGATACCACACTGGTTTCAAGCTATTTACAATGGTGGTTTAATCTTACTGTTTCTTCAACTATATCATGTGCCATAAATACAATAAACTACTTAAAAGGAACAATATATTATTATTTGTCTGCTAATATACAAAATCCCACTGTCTCAATCTCACAGAGAAGGAACTAACATCCCCACCATATATGAACATACGGACATCATGACGTTTCAGAAAACTCTTACCCTTTCTTTGGTTGTTGTTATATCCTGGGATAAAAACTGTACCGTCACTAGATACAATATTAATTACCCACAAAAAGACACACATCAGTAACACTGAACGTGAAGTGTTCGACATCATAAAGATTCTTGTCTCTATCATATTATTTTAGAAAAAGAGAAACTGTAGCTCTCTACCTTATGGTGTCTCTAAACATATAAGCAGAATTCAGATTAAAGTCACATAATATAATCTATGTTTTAAATTAAACTCATTTCCCAAGCCAATCACGATGAAACAGCTTATCGTACAATTCTTGGATAACGATAGCGACATTACACGTATACCTCTTTGTAATACAATAGTAAACTGGCAAACAACGAAAGCCAATGTTCTGTCGCAACATATAGTATGTTCTATACCTAAAAAGTTTCACTATGTTTGTAGAATTACTACAATGTAGCGATATTGTAACACATTTTATTATCTTCAAACCCAGCTGTATAAGGATTCTTGCGTCTGAAAGATATACTAACGATAATGTCTGATTTTAAAAATGGAAAAGAGAAGCACAGTTTTAAGATGTAATTTTATTACCTAAGCCAGATATATGGGTAGAGATTAATGACGGTAAACACTTGTTTTAATTGATCAACTATAATAAATTTTTTTATCACATGAGAATGGAACATGTGAAATCGATGGTAGGGATATTTTCAACTTTACATGAAATCAGTTGTTTCTGAATGTGATATGGTGTTTTCTTGAATATTCAAGGATCTATTTCTGTGTGTTCAATGTCTGATCGGTTATTGTGTTCAGAAGTAAATCACTTAAAATAACGTGTTTTCAATCTAGAAACGTGTGACTAGATTACTATAACTGAATGACCTTCCCACGATTTGAGTTTGCTGGTCCTTGGCGCTAACAGACAGAGTCAAAGCAATTTGACTATGAAGGAAAATTGTTGTTTATACAGTGTAAAGACAGGAAAAAGTTTTTGTTTTTACCATGTGAAGACTATAAATGAAGGTTTTGGTTTTTCAGTGTAAAGACTATCTGCGCTATCCGTCCCTAATTTAGCAGTGTAAGATTAGAGGAAAGGCAGCTAGTCATCACCACCCACCGCCAACTCTTGGGCTACTCTTTTACCAAGGAATAGTGGGATTGACCGTCACATTATTACGACCCCATGGCTGAAAGGGCGAGCATGTTTGATGGGAGAGGGATTCGAACCTTAACCACCTGGCCATGCTGGGCCTACTACAAAGAAATATTGTTATTTTAAAGTGTAATGATTATGAAGGAAAACTGTTGTTTGTACAGTGAAAGAGTATCAAAGAAGGTTGTTGTTTATAGTGTAAGGAATACCACACTGTACTTACAGTACTTTTTTATTGCTGTTTAAGAATGTCTATTCTAATTAATGATCTTAATATTAATTGTTTGATTGTAATATTTCATATTTTGACAACGTTAGACGTATTTTATTCTAGAAAAATTTTAAAACCACCTTTATTGTTGTCAAATAAATGTGAATATACGAGCATCTTGTGTTTAGTGTATCCAAACGTTAGCTTGTTTGAAAAATGTTCTTTACGAAACAATACTTTTCGACGTCTACTTTTCATGATTTGATATCATGCCGTTCATGGTATATCGGGAGGTGAAATTCAACTCTTATCATTCTATTGTTTGAGAAATCGTAGTATTAGTAGTTTCTTATTTCTACAGCCAATATAATAAAAAGGTTAAGGTATTACATAATATGTATAACAAATGTTCATGACTAAAAGATAACTTCAAACTTTGATTAATGACGGTAGCTATCAAACTGGATAATACATTCGATTGAGCCATACTATGTACAACTAATAGACTTTACACTTAGATAATGAATTCCAGTAACACAATAGGCTTTAGTTTTGACCGGTCTAAAGTGTCTGAAAATTGATATACATTTTGTTCCTAACTGACAAGTTTTATTCGATATGAACTAGTTAAAGTAGTAATTAAATTTTCTTTCAAGTTGACTATGAATAGTGACTAATTACATAGAAATACAAAAATTTGTTACCATGGATACACGAATAATACATAACATCGCACTTGTACTACAACACCACTCGGCTAAAATAGAGAACATACGACTCCTCTATGGTTAACAAAAAATGAACACAACTAAACCAGAACGGCCTCAGGACACCTGTTTGGTTATTATTCACTCAAAACGACACCTAACTAAAATAACCAGGACATATATTTGGTTATTATACGCCCAAAACGTCAGCTAACTAAAAATAACCAGGACATCTGTTTGGTTATTATACACTCAAATGGTCACCTAACTAAAAGTAACCAGGACATCTGTTTGGTTATTATACACTCAAATGGTCACTTAACTAAAATAACCAGGACATCTGTTTGGTTATTATACACTCAAATAGTCAACTAACTAAAAATAACCAGGACACCTGTTTGATTATTATACACTCAAATGGTCACTTAACCAAAGTAACCAGGACATCTGTTTGGTTATTATACACTCAAATGGTCACTTAACCAAAGTAACCAGGACATCTGTTTGGTTATTATACACTCAAATGGTCAC